CGCCGCTCGCAGTTCTTGGCCGCCCCCTCGCACTCGCACACCTGCGCCTTCACCGAGGTCACCTGCGCCTTGCCCTGGCTGTCCGTCAGCTTCAGGAACACGCTGTACTCACCCGGCTCCAGCTCCTTCAGCAGCCTGAGGGCCAGCTGGTCTGAGGTGGGAGAGACCGGGTCGGAACCAGCGCCGGGCTGCGGGACACGCTCCGTGCTGCCCCTTCCAGCCAGGAGCTGCCCTCGCTCCGTGGCACCTACCTTGGCTGGCCATCCTGGCGGTCCAGTTGGTGCCGGAGCCGTGCTCCAGTGCCACCTGGAAGGGGTAGGTGTTGGGGGGCAGGTCCTTGTCCACGACGGTCAGCAGCTGCTCCTCGGGCTGCTGGTTGCAGATGTCGAAGAAACGGGGCTCCGGCATGGGCCCGTTGTCGTTGACGTCCTGCAGGACGAGGAGCAGCGTCCCCGTGCCGGTGGCATCCGGCACCCCTGCGGAGCACAGGCGTGAGCGGGACCCCGCGCGGGACGGCGCTGCCCGCGCCCGCCCCGTGTCCTACCGTTGTCCACGGCCAGCACGATGGCCTTGTAGGTGCTGTTGAGGGCGTGCATGGACTCGCGGTCCAGGGCCTGGCTGGCCGTGACGATGCCGTTCTCGGGGTCGATGGCCAGCCACCCCGCGGGGTCGCTGCCCATGCGGTACCTGGGGCAGACGTGGCCTGAGCGAGGCGCCCAGCCCTACGTGCCCCCTGCAGCAGCCCGGACGGGCTCGGGGCGCAACCCGGGGGTGCGTTGGGTCCCCCTGCCCGGCAGCAGCGCAGGGGTCCCCGCACTCACGTGATTTTCTGCCTCTGCTGCTGGTCCGGGTCCTGCGCTGTGTAGGACGTGACCTCCTGCCCCACCGGCAGATCCTCCGGCACCTCCACCCTCTTGACGGGGGGCACGAAGACGGGCGCTTCGTTCACGTCCCTGACTATCACCAAGACGCTGGCCGTGGAGGTGGGGAGCGACACGGTCAAGGGCACTTCGTTCTCCACCCCAACCACGAGCTCGTACCGGCTCTTCAACTCGTAATCCAGGCCCTGGGTGGGAGGAGAAAGCCCTGGTGTCACCCCGGATCCCACAGCGAGGACGCCCGTCCCAGGCCGCGCGGCGCCCCGACCCACCTTGGCCGTTTTGAGGATGCCGTCGTTGGTTTTGGGGTCGGTGGTGATGCTGAAGTCGTCGTTGGGGTCCCCGCTGCGGATGTGGTAGACGGCTCTCCAGGCAGGGGAGCCCTGCGTGTCTGCGTCCTTCACCGTGAGCCGGGCCACCACCACCCCCACCTTGTTCTCCTCCACTGTCCCCTCATACTGCAAGAGAGGGGACAGACCCAGTCACCCGGGTGGCACCAGGTGCCCGCGGCGGCGGCGGTGGTGGGTGCCCCATAGCCCCCATGGGGGCAAGTGCGGCTGGAGGAGACGGGTACCATGTTGGGGTCGAAGATGGGCGTGTTGTCGTTGGCGTCGGTGACTTCGATGATGGCCGTGGCCGTGTTGGTCAGGCCCTTGCCCTCCTGATCCGCCGCCTGGATGATCAGGGTGTAGTTGGGGGTGCTCTGCAAGCCAGAAGGGCCGTGGTTAGGGCAGGGATGGCGCCAGCCTG